TGATTAAAATAATGTGAAATATAATTTTAATCTATATATGTAAATCCACGAACGAAAATTTTGAGAATTTCACAAGCCAAGAAGAGAGCGAACGTAGGATGGAAATAAAATTTTGAGTCTGTTATTAACAGATTATCCCTAAGAATGGATTTTCGAGGAAATTTTCCCCCAAATACATTTTTGCAAAATATTATTCTCAAAATTAATAAAAATATATTTACTTACTCTGATCTCTTTTTTTATTTTGTTTTTCGTTCCAAAAGTAAAACTTAAAGATTTTTGATTTTGATTCTAAAATCGTAAATTTATTTCCAAATATTATCAAACGTGAAATTTTTTTTCTAATATATTAGGCTAAAAATTTCTGGCCTTTCATAAACTCCTTGGCCTTCCAAAATTCCTAAAAGTTTCGCCTAAGGCACTACAAAGGGAAAAAATCTGGCTTCATCGGTAGTAACGAAGAGTCTTATTCTTAGTCCATCAATATATTCACAATATCCACTTTATATACCTTTTAATCCATCTCTCGATATCCTTCTCACTGTCCATTAATATCATCCTAAATCCTTGTAGTCTCTTTAATCCAGTGTTGGAAAAGACGAGACCGATACCGAGATTCTCGGCTTTTTTCCAATATCGGTCTCGGTTTTTTCATTCTCGGTCTCGAACCCGATACTGAAATTTTGAGAAATCCGGTTTTTCCAGGCTGACCGGTTTGTCCGTTTTATCCGGAAAACCGGCCCGGGTGCGATTTTGAGAAAAAAAATCCCGGGCCCAGCATTTTGAAAAGTTCGAACTCTACAAATTATTACTCTATCACCACTGATGGATGGAGTAAACCTACTCTCTCTTTACAAATAAAAAGGTTAAGGGATCGGATCCATCAATCGAATCGGATCCAGATGTGAAGAGTATTTATCTGATATTTGGATGATGAAAATAATGAAAAAAATATTTTTACACGTATTTTTTGGCATAAAATAAAAATTTCTGTTAGTCTCGGTCATTTTCATTTCTCGGTATCGGTCTCAACTCAAGATGGTGGTATCGGTCTAGGTATCGAGTTCTTGAATATCGGTCAATCTCGGCTCGGGTTGGCCGATACCAGAATCGTTTTTTCCAACTCTATACTTTAATCCCCTCAAATATTATCCCCTCAATATTCTTAACGTATAAACAAAGGATATAAAGACATTTGGAGGATTAATCAGCGATAACTTTTATCGGTGTTAACAGGAGATTTGAGAGATGACAGATGATTTTAAGAGGATTTTTGAAAAATTTTTACAATATTTATCAGTTTTCTTGCAATATTTTCAATTTTTTCTTCTAATCTTCCAATGCCGAAAAATCGGTACTACCGCGGTACTGTAAAACTAGAAACTATCGTAAGTACCACGGTAGTACCGAACTGTTCCTCAATTATTATCATACTATTATTTTGCAAATTTAATGACAATTACATTCACAATATGTCAATTTTAAACTTATTATCAGCTGTTTAAAGGAGTATGATAGAAAAAATATTTTAAAATAAATTGTCACATTATTCTTTTTTTTTGTTAATGACTGATTGACGGCAGTCCATTCTCATAACTACTATCATAATCATTTTAAATTCCTATATTCTCCTTCATATTTAGATATATAAGCAAAATTATATATAAGCAAAAGTATTATTGGGACTCAAAAAAAATATGTAAAATACCGCCCGATACCGGTTAACGTAAGATTTATCTCAATGCAAACATGAATTTTCATAATATGCTAGCTATAATTTTAGCATTAACCTTTTAGCCCTAATTACTAAATATTTTACATAATATTTTAAAAAATAAAATTATTTATTATTACAAATTATGCAATTCTAAAAATCTGAAAATGATTAAAATCATCCAATAAAGGCAAAATTAACTTTTTTTCTAAAAGAAATTTTTTGAAAATTTTTTCTAATATATAATAAGGGTGATATCAGTTAATTTAGAGAAACAAAAAATATTGGAGGGTTTAATTCGTATATGGAAGAAATTCTTTGGTATCCTCCTTAAATCCTTCATACAAATACATACTCTTAGTCTTTTGATATCCCTCTAATCCCTTGGTATTACACTTAATACGACTATATCCTTTTTAACTATAGAAACGGGGATATTAGGGGGCAAGAGGTGTAAAAGTATTTGGAAAAAATTTTTAATTTGATAAAATACTGATCAAATTATTAAGATGAAATTTTTTCAAATAGTTTGGAATTTAAAAGTTAAATCATGATATATGTAGGTATTGTTGAAAGGTTTTAATCCCAAAGATATTTAAGAAATTTATTTGAGAATGTAATCTCGAATTTTTTATTTTGGACCAGTTGCAAAATATATTTATTTTTACTTAATTACTTTTAATTAAGTGCCAAAAGCATTATAAAACAGAAAAGGGCAAAAATGTAGCGCTACTCCTAACGCAAACATCCAAGAATAGGTATGAAAGGTGCGCATTCTTTTTGCGGACAGATCCGAAGAATTTTTTCAAAATTTTTTTTATCCTAATTCTCCTCTGATTTCTAATTAATCACCTTAATCAATCTATTCTTTAAAAAATTTAATTTAATTCCACATTTTTAGATATTAAAAAATGAACAAAATTATTATTATTATTTTTATGATTGTTTTTTATTTGAGCCAGAATTTAGGTAATAAAATTAATACAAATTTAAATGTGTTCAGAAAAAAGAATACCCTAGGATTTCTTTGTTGGGTTCTTTTATTTAGTTCTTCAGAAACAAGGGGATTTTTGAGGGATTTATTTCAAAAAATTTCGGCTGTGGCCCTTAAAAATTTTTGTCATACTTTTTTATTCTTTGAAATTCCCCTTAAACCCCGAAAATATACAGGTAATAAAAATATATCTAAAAAAATTAGATTTTTGTTTAGAAAATTGCGGCTGCCATTATAAATGCATAAGATGTGGAGGTTATTGTGTCTATGGTACATATAATTATTATAATTAGGAAAAAAATTTTAGGATAAACTAACCTATATTTTTCCTGAAATACTAATGTTGAAACCTATTTTAGAATTTTGCCATCTATAATAGTTTGTTAACTATTTTCATGTTTTTTGTTACCTATTTTGGATATTTTACGTGGAAATTTTTTTATTTTTCCTTCATTTTTCTTATCAGCTCAGAAAATTTTTTTCGATTTAGAAAATAACAATTTTTTCAAAACATTTTTTTATTTTTAAAATGAATACTCTGAAGATTTCTGATACCTAATTATGGGGACACGCCCGAATAGTCGCGCCGCCATAAGGTCGCTAAGCCATAACTTGCTTTTTTCCGAATCTGGCCAAATTTAGTATTAAACGATTCCTCTCATCGAGCTAGAGATTGGAACCAAAATTAATAAGGGCCAGAAATTTTGCAGCAAAGTTATGGCTTGGCGACCTTATGGCCGCGCGACTATTCGGGCTGTACCCCTAATTATGATGTAAAATTTTTTATATTTAGGAAAATTTTGTCGATGCTACAATTGCATGAAGAGCTTTATGGGCATGAATAATTCTAATTAAGAATATAGATTATAATGTAAATATTATTTTTAGAAATTTTATTTCGGTACACCTCAATTGAGTCCCGACTCAATTGAGTCCCGGACCCTATAACTTATGAAGGGATGGACACTTTTTGCTACTCTTGGTACCATTGGATAGGGCATTAAATAGGCTACAATATACCAAAAAATCAAAATTCCCGACCGACTGGTAAAAAAGTTATGATCGATAAAGTGCCGAAAAATCCGATTTTTTTGAAAAAGTTAGTTTTTAGATCATAACTTTTTTATCAATAAGTCAAAAATTCTGATTTTTTGATATGTTGTAGAGCTTTTGATTCTCTATCCAATGATACCAAGAACATTAAAAATTATCAACCCGTACTTGAGTTATAGGGCCGGGACTCAATTGAGCCGGGACTCAGTTGAACTGCTCCGATTTTATTTGCTTTATTATATTTAAAATTTAATAAATATTTCTAAAGAAAAATTTTTTTGGCTCTATTGCATTTAAGCGTCCAATCAAAAAAATTGGATTTTCCTTTACATTTTGAATTTGGGATTGAGTTATGTAACACTTCATGTTCGGGACTTACGGCCATTGGGTCTGGGATCGTTCCTTATCCTATTCCTCTAAATTTTTGAAAGTTATAATTGCTTTTCTGAAATTTAAACAATTGGCTATAACTTTCAGAAATTTCGAGGGGTAGGGTAAGGAACTGTCCCAGACCCAGTGGGCGTAGGTCCCGAACATGAAGAAATGATCTGAAACCCAATGCCAAATTCAAAATGTAAGAAAAATTCAAATTTTTTTAATTGGACGTATGTATATTGTGCCATTTTCTAATTCAAAAAAATAAAATTTTTATTAAAATAAAAATTTATCTTTTAATAATATTTAGTAATATGTTTATAATTTGGAATTTAAAGAAAAAGATCATAGCAAAATTTTAGTACATAAAATTAAATATTTATAGGAATTAAAATTTCACAGCATAGGGATAGGAGAACTAATTTTTAAAAAGAATTTAAAAAAGATATGTCATAATTGATATAAAGATTATTTTTCAGAAAATATTTTTACAAAATTAGCATTAAAATCTGTTAAGACTAGGGAAAACAACTAACAAAGCAATTAGTTTCGTATAAGTCTGGTTCATATAAGTCTGGAGTTTTTTTGGGTACAGCCCAAGCAAGGGCGCGCGGCCAAGTAGGCGCAAAGCCATAACATGCTTCAAGATTTTCGAATCTTTCAAAATTTAGTATTAAGCGATTCCTCTCATTTAGCTAAAGAGATTAGTTCCAAAATTGTTAAAGTCCAGAAATTTTCCAGGTAGTTATGGCTTTGCGCCTACTTGGGCGTGTCCCAGTTTTTTTATCATTATTAAATATTGTCTATAATTATTAGGATATTAAAAAAATAATTAAAAAATAAAATCTTTTTATAAATTAATTTTTAAAAAACAGTCATATTTCCCCAAAGTTCAAGTCGTTTAATCCATCCTTTAGTTTTGAACCAATTACGCATTGATTCACTATAAGGATCGCAAACACCTGTCCATCTGTTAAATAAAATTTTTTTAAATTTAAATTTAAGAAATTTAACGTTTTAGGTGTGCAATAAAGCTCTGAAAAATCCAAATATTTGCTCTTTAAGTCCCAAGCATTATCATAAATTTTATGACTGGATATCATTCCAAACTCGCTAATATTCACTGAATAATGTACCGCATATAATTGAATATTAGAAGTGAAAAAGGGAACAACCTGAATTTTAAAAAATAAAAATAAGTTTAGGTACCGTATTTGCTCTAGTAATCCCCCAGGGGGATTATTGTTTCAACCCATCTTTAGGGTGGGGGATTAATAGAGCCTGGGGGATTATTAGAGTGGGGTAGAAAGAGGGGGATTATTGTTTCAACCCATCTCCAGGGTGGGGGTTTAATAGAGCCTGGGGGATTAATAAAGCCTGGGGGATTAATAAAGACTGGGGGATTAATAGAGCAAATACGGTATATTCCAAAAAATAGAAAATTAGTCAGTGATGAACGAAAATTTTAGAAAGACTAATTATAACTATTTTTAAAGGAGTAATTATTGTTTTAACCTTTCGCTCGAGAGGATAACTAATAGAGGCGGGGTAATTATTTGAGGGAAGGGTAATTAATCGAGTATGTATATACGGTAGCAACTTTGGATTTTTGCCGTTTCTAACATTAAGAAAAATTTGCAAAAAATTCAGAAAATTAATTTAGACCTAAAAACGACCCATATCTTTACTCAAAGTCAATATCTTGAAATTTCGAAAATCAAATTAAAAATGAGGTAAATCTCTTTAGAAAATATTTCTACCCCCTTGTAGAATGGTTTGAATTTTCATTTTTGGCTTTTTCTAAAGTTATTAAAATTGCTAAAGGATGGCACTAATCTTATTTTTAAGGAAAAATTTAACAGCGAGATAGAGGCAATTAAACAAGCCAAAAAAAGAGCATATTTTATGGGTCTTTTAGTGAAAATATTAGTATTTTCCAGAAACTAAAGTATTTTTATTTACCCCCAAATAAGCAGTTCTCATCATTCCAGCACGTATATCAGCCATTAAATTGAAAGTTTTTGATAAATTTCGATATTCACGAGGATCGTTAATTTGAACAATAAATGAAGGCTTTTTAAGGTTCTTTTGGTGTTGGTATTCTTTGTATTTTCCTAAATTTGGTAGAAAATATATAAGTATAAGGAAGTTATTTAATATATTAAGGGAAAAAATTTTCTTAAAAATATTGGTATTTTTTTCGGAAAATACAGGCTAAATTTATCCTGGAATATACATACAAGGTAATGACACTCGAATTTTATCTGATCATAAAAAAATTTTATTTTCAGGAATATTAAATGTTTCCGGAAACTTTCTTGGAAGCAATAGAATTTTAAAAGAAAAACAAAAATTTATTTTACCATTCAAAACTTGTTGTAAAGAAAGTTGTATAGAATTTTCCAACTCTAAACGCATCCAATTATCAAAATTTTGTTTTTCCAATTTTTTAAGGTCATTTTGAGAGAAAGAAGCTGTTTTATCGTGAAGTCTAAATGGAAATATTTATTTAAAAATTATTTTTTTTTAATTTTTTACCCACCGAATTGAGGAAAGAAAATTCTTATAAAGTCCGCTAAAATTTAAGAAAAAAATTATTTTTATTTTTAATTTCCATTAACTGACCCACTAGAACCTTTTCCAGCCACCGTTAAATTATGTAAAGTACGAGAAATTTCAGGTCTGATACAAACACGATTTTGGCGAATATTGTTATTGCGAAGCCAGTCATCCCAATAAATGTCTTTTAAAAATTTAATTAATTAATTTTAATAAAGTCGGAACTTTAATGTAAATAGTTGGTTGGAAGATTAGCAACTTATAATGAATTACCGTATTTTTTGTATTAGAGCCCCACGTTGAATTAGAGCCCCACGCTGTAATAAAGCCCCACTTTCAAGGATAGTTGAAAAATAGAGCCCCACGCTGTATTAGAGCCCCACGCTGAAATAGAGCCCCACTTTTTAAAATTTACCTATGGTATAATAAATTGTTAATTTTTAATACTATACTGTTTTTTTCTTTTATTTAATGTTCTGTGCCAATGTTAGAGATTATGTATATCCGATTAAGAGGTATTTGTGGATTAATATTTGTAGATTAACCACTTTAATCTGCCGATATCCATTGAACCAGACTTAATCCATACAAATTACCAGATACCTATTCCGCCTAATCTCATGATATCTCTTCGAAAATCCCTTTGTATGAACAATAACATTAAATACAATCCGTAGACTGATATTCCGAAAATCACTCTTAATCCATTGATAACTAGGTATATTCCTTCCGTATATTTGATTCTCTCCAATGAAGGGATTTGGACGTTATAGGAGATATTAGGAGATTCTTCTATATACTGGTAAGCATAGATATTGACGAGATTAGCCTAGTTATCACTTGATTCATCTCAAAAATACTCCGATATCCGATTAATCCCCAAAACATTGATACTCCCCAAATCACCCGATATCCATATTAATCCCCAAATACCTTCTTAATCACATCTATATCCTTCAATTGTGACTAAACGAGATATACACACGAAGGAGTGAACTATGCGGACTGAAGCAATATAGAATCGAACCTTCAAATGCTCGATAGGATTCGATCCTTCCACAAATTTAAATTCAAATTGGCTTTAAATCGACCTAACCGCGAATTAATGTGGACGCGCAACTATCCGCTTTTAAATTATCCTAATGCTGAAATTTGTTTTTGTGATTAAATCTTATCTAATTTGATAAATATAGTTAACCTTTTAATTGAAATCCTATTACCTATTTTCAAAAATATGTTGAAAAATAGAGCCCCACGCTCTATTAGAGCCCCACGCTGTAATAAAGCCCCACTTTGGAGGGTAGTTGAAAAATAGAGCCCCATGGGGCTCTAATACAAAAAATACGGTATATCCAAAATCTGAGGTATTCACTTAGACACTCCCCCCCTCCTCGGCCAAACACATTTAAAAAGCGTATACATCACATGGATGTCACGGGTTGAGAAAAAGTCGGCTCGGCTTTAATATGGGTTTTCAAAAATTTCTTTGGATCAGCTGATAGGAAAAATTTTTGAAGGATTTGAAGCTAGATTTCTATACAAAAAGTCGGATATGGCTTCGGGTAATCCGTGAAATTCCTAATATCCAACATTGGGTCTAGCTTATAGTGGGGTCCAATTTTATTTTAAAATAATTCAAAAAAAAAATTTTTTGAGTAAAAAATCTTTTCTCAAATTGTCAAAATTTGTCAAAAAATATTTTAAAAATCACCAGGCCAATTTTCTCTCAATTCAATCCAAAGTTGAGATGTCAACATCCACCCCAAACCTGGGAAGAAATCTGTTCTCCACAATTTATTTATCCCTCCCTTCCAATCAACTAGAGAAGGATTTCCATTGTCATTCCAAGCAGAGATACACCTTTAAATTATTTTTAATTTATCGTGAAATTATGAGTCCATGCTACCGGAATATTTTATAAATATTTTAATTCCTAGAGTATTGGGTATACTTGCGGACAAAATTTGCAGACAAAGACTAGACTTCAAAAACTTTAAATTGGTAAATGTTAATTTGTCCGCAAAAATAAGTTCATAAATTTAGATAAGAAGTAATTTTACATATAATTATAACCGATCCTCATTATAAGTTACAACCAGAAAATTAACTGATTTTAAATTTTGGAAGGCCAAAGGACACAAAAATTATTTTTAATTTTGTGAGCCAACGAGTAGATAAGCGGTACCCAAAGGATTAAAATACTCAACTTATAATAAATAAAAAATTTTTAATAAAAAGATTTTTTCAAACCAAATTGTAGGGTCAGAATAGAGTAAAGGTTTCGTTGAATTGAAATAATGAAAAAAATCCGAAGCAATGTCAAGATCATCTGAAAAAAAATTTTTTGAGATTAAAACAATATGAGGAAAATATAAATTTTAAATTAATCCACAAAGAATGAAAAGAAGTTTTGATTTAACTTTTTTTGTGAAACTCTGAAAACCAGAACTTCTTCAAAAATAAAAGAATAACCGAAGTTCGAAAATTTGTAAAAATTTAGACAAAAATTAAAAAACAATCGAAAATCTTTTCTAAATTTATGGCAACAAATTAGGGAAATTCATTTTTATCTTTTTAAATAAAAATTAAGTAAAATTACAAACTCATCGTTTTAGGAAATTTAAAAATCGGCTAAATCGGTCAGAGATGGGATTTTTCAAAAAAATTTTTTAATTTCTTTTCAAAAGTAGGGTTGTCGATTCTGGACCGAACCGAAAAATCTTCGGTTCCGGATATCCGAAAATTTTTCAAGGACCGACAACCCTATTCATGAGAATAGACTAGGACTTGGAAAACCCGGAAATTTTCGTTTCCTATAATTTTCCCAAAAATTAAAAAAAAACAATAAAAAAACCTTCAGTAATAATAACCGTCTTAAACCCGTTTTCCAAAAATATTTTGTCCAAAGCCCATTTGTAATGTTGAGATATTTTAAAATAATTATCTTTGGCTTTAGCTGGAGGTAATTTTTGTTCTGGATGCTAAAAAATAAAAAAGAAAATTTTTTTTAATTAAAAAAAACCTGTAAATGAGTAAAATAATTAATTTTGGAATTAAATTCTTTAATTGTATTTGTCACTTCAATATTAAATCCATCTTGACTTACAAATATTGGAAATAATTCTGGGGATGGACGTAACCTTTAAAAATGTAAGAATTAAAAAAAAATTTTTAGATTTTTTAAGAGTTCTAAAAAATTTTTTTAGAAAAAAAAAACAAAAAAATATCAAAAAACATTAGCGCCAAAAAGAATAAAAGACTGGGTAAATAATCCCCGACAGGAAAACATTTAGAAATTCGAGAAAAAAATTTAAAAAAATCATTTGGTATAAAAATAATGAGGAAAATAATTTCCCCCATAAAATTTTCAATTAATATAAAAATTTAATAGTTAGGTAAATCCAAAAAATAATTTTCTAATTTCAGAAACTTAAAAAAATTGAAAAAAATTCAAAGTTCAAAATATTTTTTTAATTTTTAAAATTTCAAAAAAAACCTATTTAATTGTTCCAAATGATTTTTAATCGCTATAGGCCTTTTAGCACAAAAAACAAGCAAAGCAATTTGTTCTTCCTTTAGCCTAGTTGTTTCTTCAATTTGTGGTGATGTTAAAAGAAAAGTTTGGATTTCCAATTGTTGAGGTTGAGTAAATAAATAATTGTTCTACAAAAATAGGGGAAAATTAGCGGAAGATTAAAATTGAAAAAATTTAAAAATAATTTCAAATTCCTTTTAATTTCTTGAAAATTTTTGTGGAAAATTTCCCCCCTTAAAAATAATTATTAGAATTGGTGGAAAAATTAAAAGCAAAAAAATTTTCAAATTTCTTTTAATTTCCTAAAAATTTTCTATAAAAAATTTCTCTCCCCAAAAATTCCTAAAAAAATAATCTTATAAAAAACAACCCCTTCCCTCGCTTTTTAAGTAAATAAACCGTTAAATGTAAACGAATAAAATTTTGGAAAGCGAAAAGTCGTAAACGAAAAAAAAAAGTAAACACAGTTTTTTCCCCTTTTTCAAAATTTTATAGATCAAAAGTTGGTTAAAACGAAAATCAAAAAACCAAGAAAAGCTAGAAATACTCTGTGGATATACAAGAACTAAAGGCTTGAGCCTCCTAGCCCCCTGGCTACGCCCTTAACAGGAACCAAAAATCTTTGGTTCAATCCCCAACAGAAGACCCACTATATAAGGAAAACTTAAAATTGCGCCGAAACCGACGACAATCGGACAGGACTATCAATATGAAAAATAAGAAGACTTTTGTGACAGAATTCCACCCCCAAATTCTATCACGAATCGGAAAAGTCCCCCTACCCTCCCTAAAAATTAAAAAAAAATTAAAAAACCTGTAAATAAAAACTGCTAAAAGTCTCCAAATTAATAACATCCGTCAACAAATAAGTAAACAAAATAATTATTGACACAAGAGAAGAACAAAAAATAAGCAAAACAAAAGTCAAAGTAAACCTTTTAACATTACAAAAACAGGCTAGAGAAGACTGTTTATTTTGTCGTCGATTTAAATATAAATTGTAATTAATTGAACAACAAAAATATTTTAGACGAGAGAATGAAGCATTTAATTGTTTGTTTGGTAAAGGATTCCAATCCATAATTTTTTTTTCTAAAAAAATTTTTTTTGACAAAGGAAAAGAAAAACAATCAAACAATGGGGAGCCAAATCGGCGCGAGGCTCTAACGGCGCGAGGCCATAACTTTCTGGAAAATGCCTGTCCCTTCTCAATTTTGGTACCAATCTCTTTAGCTCGATGAGAGGAATCGTTTGATACCAAATTTGGTAGGATTAGGAAATCTTGAAGCAAGTTATGGCATTGCGCCGTTATGGCCGCGCGCCGTAACGGCGTGTCCTCATTTGAATGGGTGGGGGATAATTGAGTCCCACCGGTTGAGTCCTGAGTCATATTTTGGGCCATAACTTTTTTGATTTTCACTCAATTCGAATAAATCTTATATCAATCGAAAGCTCTGAATGTATGGATTATTTTAGCTAATAGGATTGATTTAATCAGATTTTCCTAAAAAAAGTTACAGCCTGATAAGTGAGTGCAATCGTGAATTTTATCTTTATTCGATTGTAACTTTTTGTAGAATTGTCTGATCAAATCAATCCTGCGAGCTAAAATAATCCTCACATTTAGAGCTTTCGATTGATATAAAATTATTTAAATCGGTCAAGAGACAAAAAAGTTATGGCAAAAAATATGTCCTTAAGACTGAAAGCGATAAACATTTTAGGCGTCCTTTGCGCCAAAGGAGTTGATTATTTAGAGGGTATGGTGAAATACCGTAAATATATACCGTAAATATCTTAACAGAAGCCCTGGGCTTATATTTTTCAATACCCATCATTGGGTGGGATTCTAATAGTAGGGCTTCTAATAGTACTTTTAATAGGGCATGGACTTCTATTAGGATATTTATGGTAGGTATAAGATGGAAATGCAGACATTGGTAGTATTGTAAGGCCGAGATCATCCTAGAAACACGTGAAGAGCAATCATCGCTCTAAGTAGCGGAAGTTCCCAGAGAAAAGGCAAAGAACGCCACAAACGGCCATTCCCAGAGAGTTATTAGCCGCCCATTATCTAAGCTAAACATCGCCACTAACTTATCCTTGGGAAAGCAATATGGAAGTAAGCTGGTGTTTATAAGCTTTAATGGAATAGGCTAAGGCAGATCACTTCTTCATTCATTCAACAGAGTTGCCGGCCGGCCAATCCATCGAGTCTATAGGGAAGAGCTCCCCCTATATTCCCCCACTGCGTTCGATTAACTTATTTCTATACTCTGCGGAGTTTACACATGATTGCAAGCATGCGCGACTCTGCCTATAACAACGACTAAACAACGAGGCACTGGGGAACGGGACCAACCGCTTTACTGTAGTTAAGAAAAGTTTAATTTCAAATTCTAAAAAAGGTTTTTGGTTAAATTGAGACTTGCAATGATTTGTCTCTTTGTTCTCGATTAATGTTAAAATATTTTAAAGGATTTATTTATTTTTATTTATACGAACAAACACTAGGTATGAAAATAAAATGTAAAAAAGGTAGTTTAAAAAAGAATAGTTAAAAAAATTTTGTTACTTTTATTATCATTTGTGTAACTTTAAAAATATACATAAAACTTAGCAAAAAATAACAAAAAAACAAAGTTTAGTGCCTATTAATAATTTTTTCTAAATAAATTTTTTAAATAAAATTAAGAGAAAAATCAAGTTGTGTAAACATTGAGAAATTTTAAATTTTCCTTTTATGGAATAAAATATTTTATGTATTATGCAAAATCGTTAATAGAAATTGCCAAAAATCGTACAGAATCGATTATAGTTTTATTTGGAAAAATGTACGGATTAATTTTATTCACTAAAATTACTTATATTGAAGTGCCTTAATTGCTTGATAAAGGATTCTAAGTTTTCGAGCCCTATTAAAGCTCAGTTTAAATTGATAAACTGTTAAGGGTGATCCCTCATTTTCCCTCATGAAATCCCCTCATTTTCTAACCAAATGAATAAAATAAAACAAAAAATTTTTTGATAAATTTATGCATTGAAAATATAAAAGACAACCGAAGATATCTAAAATTATGCCTAAATATAAATTTTAAAATAAAATTTCTACTGTAGGACCCAAACTCAGCAGGGGATATCTAACATGGGGTCCGTCTCTATTTCTAGTTTTATATGATGTCAAAGATTAAATTTTTAGAAATTGGCTTTACCCTCATCTAAAATTATACCAACATATAAATCTAAGGAATTTAAATAATTTAAATACCCGGATCAGAAAAAAATTATCTACTCCCTAAATTTAAATAATTTCGGCACATAAAATTGGAGAAAGAAAATTGAAAGGCTCCCATGCAAAACACCGTTTCTTAAAACACCGCATTCTTAACACGGCTAGACAGGCTTAAAATGTGGTATTCTAAGAGTGCGATATTCTGAGTGGGCACGAAATTAAAAATCAAAGATACGAGTTTTTTTTTGTTTAACAGCCAATCTAACAAATGTTTCTTACTCTTCTTTATCTTTTAATCATATTAATTGTTTTAATCAATTGGAGAAGTGTAGTTATCGTCATCACTAGATATTTAAATTTTATTAAGTTTTTATTTGAAAGTTTTTAGGATTCCATAATTTCCCTTAGTTATTAAATTCATTTTTTTAACGTTTTCGATTATATGTAATTAAAGAATTAATCGTTCTGATACAAATAAGTGGTTTTTACTTAAGATAACACTTACTTTTCCGAATATTTGTTGTTAGTAATTATGTCGTTAACGACTTGTTGAAAACCCGTCTCGCCTTCACCTTTCAAAGAATTATCAAGATAGCGAATACCTTCTGGCCATGATTCATATTCAAACAACCTCCCTTTATGTTCATTCTGTGCAATGGCTATTATAAGTTCATAGACAAAATTGTGGCATAGGTAGTTGTCATTTTGAATTGTGCGGCCACGAGCAACCTTTTTATAGGCAATATTGATGATTTGATACAAACTAAGTGGACGGGTAAACACCTTTTATAGTTAAAATATATTTTATAAGCTTGGACAAAGGATAAGCGTAGAATACTTGACAAAAGACCTACCTTCATAGATCTAGTTATTCTTCCTTGTTTGGGTGTAAAATCTTCATGCAAAACGGTATACCGCGTTTTAGTAGTCACTATTTTGTTTTCTTCATCAAGTTCCATATAAACTCGACCATAAATGTCTTCCTTTACAAAATAACTAGTCTGTCGAGCCGTATCAAAAAAGTTTAAACCACTACCAGTTTGATGAACTTAAATAGTGTCTATTATTGTGTAGAGGAGGGAGTTTTTGGGTGAATGATTAAAAAGAATTCTTTTGCCCTTTATGCGACGAAAAGAATTTTCAATTACCATGTAATGGTAAAAATTTAGTCTTTGAAAAAAATTTATTAAGAAAAACTCACGTCTAAACACCTCTTGATCTTCTGAGTAAAACCTAACCATCACGTGCCCGGAAAATAACGGCTGAAATATTGCGGGATCCAAAGAAGGAATGATTTCTAACAGATTCTTTATTTCCATTATAGCACCTTTCCCAAAGTTTGGTAGATATGGTGATCTTTCAAGTAATTTAATTCTTCCATTCTCAATATCTAAAATACATATAATAGAATACATATATGGTACACCCTCCTCAGAAAAATTACAAGGCGGTCTAATGGATTTGGAACTTAATACAAGGAAGCTAAAGAATCCCCATATAACTACTTTTAAATAGGTAAATGATAGAGTGGGGTATTAATATGTATACGTTTGGGATACCCTAAACTCATATTGTGGCAATAGGTTTTAAGTTATCTCCGAGTAATTATTAAAATAGATGGCTGAGTTATTAATGGATGTGTTACTTTTGTTTTATTTATTAAAAATTTTACATTGCACAGACGCGATATTTAATTCATTTAGGAGGTCTTCAATGTTAAAGACAGTATCTCTTTCATTATTTTCCCACTCTTGAAGAATACGTACAGAACCACCATCATCTAAATTAAAACTTTCTCAGATTTTTGACAAAGAAGTTTTAAAAATAATTTTTTTATGGGAAATATTTTTAGAATTTTATATATTAAGTATTTATAAATTACATAATCTCGTATATATTCTCATTTCGTATTGTTTTTGAACATTTGGAGAAAGTCCGTCAAACGGTCCATGAGTAGCTTCTTGAACGTTTTTGTTTCTACCCTTAATTCGCCTTGAACCTCTAGAACTTCCAACTCCATCATTTCCAGTTGAATATTCAATGCAAATCAAAGAAAAAATCAGAAAGAAAAACATTCCTTGTTTAAAGGATGAATTTAATTTGTTTAAGAAAATCATCTGGAAAATTTAAAAATAATTAGCAACTCTTGAAATATAAATTAAAAATGAGAAGGAATTTTAAATTGAGTGCTGATGTGGATTCAACAATTATTATATAAAATCTAAGTCATGGCCAAATTTTGCCAAATTTTGTAAATTTCTCTAACAGCTTTATACATACATATCTCCTTAATAAAACATGCTGCCCAGCTTGTTTAGAGGTTGTAAATATAACTCAAGATTTAACAGAGAGATTTGGTAATAACAAGCACGCGCAGGCATTGATTCTCTTGATTGCCAATATTACCTATCCCTCTCTCTCTCGACTGCCAGTCAACGACTCTCTCGACTGCCAGTCAACGACTCTCTCTCGACTGCCAGTCAACGACTCTCGCGACTGCCAGTCACTCATAATGAGGCCCTCTATCTAATAAGAAAGAATAATTGCCGCTTTTTGCAAAATATTAATTTTTGCAAAAATTGCTGTCATATGAGTGCGTTTTTACAAATTATGAAATTAATTTAAAAATGTTTGTATGATTTTGTTTTTATAAGTTTATGTTCCCCTTAGCTTAGCAACCGAAGCAAAATTAAAACGCTCAATTCGTGTTGGGGTGATTGAGAGGTTAAAAATTGAATTGGAAAGCTTTTCATTACCAAATACGATTCAGTATTTTGCTATTCTCTGAGAATGGCTACGGCCACTTTACTTCCAGTTAAACTAAACACTAAGCAACTTCGTTTGCTTGTTTTGTTTAATTTAGAGGCACGTGAAGTCAGATGCCTCTTGCCTTCGAATCGACTGCCCTTTAATTGACATGCTGGCAATAATGTCAATAGCGGCACTCTTTTTGAAAATCATTAGGTAATACAGTCTGTCTGTCGCTTTTCCTTTGCGTTTATTAATTAAATGCCCTTTTAAGTCTAAGGTCCCAAGATGCCCTTAAAGGCATAAAGAAAGTAACGATTATAAAGTTTAAGACGATTTAAATTTGCCCTTTTTCTAAAATTAAAGCAAAATACAGGGCTCTATCTTAGGACATGCGTCCCATGAACTTTTATGCGTCCCATGAAGGTTTATGCGTCCCAAAAATAGTATATGCGTCCCATGAAAGTTTATGCGTCCCAAATATATATGTGTCACAAAATAATATAAGCGCAAAACATTTTTTTAAATGTATAAATGAAAAATAAATATTTTATTGTTTCCTTGCTCAAGGGACAACGAGCAAATTAAAAAAAAATAAAATTTTTATTTTAATATGATAGCAGAGTAATTATTCATAGTCGATATTTCGTTCTAATTTCTTCCATCAAATGTTGACCCACACAAGTCGCCCAAATATGGGTGAAACCAGATTTGAAAAATTTTTGTTTTGATGGTTCGTATCAATTTAATATTCTCATTTTTTAAATTATTTTAGACACGACAGGAAATATAATAAAACATAGTCGATCCGGCCAAATAGAAGTAAAAAAACTTTCATGGGGACCCCTAGTATAATGCCGAATGACCCTGTAGACCTACACCTTTTGATCAACACCATTTCTCCTTTTATTTTTTTACAAGCTTAATCAGTGGATCTGAAGAGATTAAAGGAGTTAATAAGGGGGTTATTAATTTGTCCAGAAAAAAACTTTCTATTTGACTAAAAAATTTGATAGAGCTACAAAAACGCACAAAAATAAAAAGGTTCAAATTAAAAGGTTCAAATTGTAGCTATTTTAAAATAAAACAATTTTAATTAATCAGGAGAGAAAATGTAAAATTTAAAAATTAAAATATTAAATATCTTATTTACGCTTTTTTGAAGTTTTTGATGCTAAACAGACAAACAGACACACAACGCAAAAAACGTTAAGAACAAACATCAAGACCGATTTACGATAATAGTTTTGCATTTAGTTGACTCTGTAATGTCTCGAAACTTAATTTTATTACAATTATGTATTACCGTATTTACTCGAATAAACCCCTGGGGAACCCATCCGTGGCATGGGGAATTATTCGAGAGAGTGGAACTATTCGAGTTTTGAAATTTGAACGTGTAGTAGGGTAGTTGGAGGAGGGGGATTATTGTTTCAACTCAGCCGTAGGTGGGGGAATTATTCGAGAGAGTGGAACTATTCGAGTTTTGAAATTTGAACGTGTAGTAGGGTAGTTGGAGGAGGGGGATTATTGTTTCAACTCAGCCGTAGGTGGGGGAATTATTCGAGAGAGTGGAACTATTCGAGTTTTGAAATTTGAACGTGTAGTAGGGTAGTTGGAGGAGGGTGTAAGATCCGAGTTATCTTACTTTATCTTAGATTTATTTTTATTTTACTCTCAACAAATTGAGGACTTTTTTTAATATATTTATTCAGAATATTTATCAACAAATTAATTTAATTTTTAAGTTTTAAGTTCGATTGAAGGTGAAGTTGGAGTAAAGGTTTTGGTTTATATGTATATAGGGAAATAGGGGCGGTTGATTATTTATGAGAGGTGAAGAGTGGGTTGAATATTTACTAGTTTGATTGACAGTTATTTGAATTTGTGAAGGGAAGAGAGGTTAGGATGAAAGGGATTTTTTAATGTAAAAGGGGAAATGCCAATCATAATAGTAAATATTGTAAATATTGAGATGGGAAAATGTTGGGAGGCAAAATGTATATTTGAATATTGAAAGGTCAACTTTAAATAAATATTAATTTAAATTTTCTTAAATAACGGACACAACATCCCTCCTTCTCTTCAAAAAACTTCATCCACCAAATTATTTAACGTCTCCCGTGGTAACGAGGATTTCCATCATTGTTTCGATAATAACGATGATTTTCTTCTTGATAAGGCGTATAACGCCCTCGCGTAGTGTTGCGGTATTGTTCATTCTCCAATTGACTGTAACAAATAGAACAACCTAGAATTACGAGCTCGTCCTCGCGGACGACCACGATTTCCTCCGCGATTATCGCGGGCATTTTCTCCACGATTTTCGCGGGAAGTTCCAACCTCGTTTTCACGATTATTTTCTCAACGATTACCGTGGGCAGCTGGTCGTTCCTCCATCTTATTTTCATTAGATGGGTCTTTTTCTTCTTCATCCTCCGATTCGGAAAGTTCCGACCCGAGCCAGATTTAATTTGGTATAAATTTAAAAAAATGGACCGAGTCTAAAAAAAGGAGAAAGAGAAAAAAGAATAATTGTAAATACCGGGTTAAACCCGAGAAAAAAAATTAAATTCAAAATTATTAAAAATCCGTTTCTACACGAGATTTATTATTCCTTCAAAATATGTTCTGAAAATCCGTCACTGTTGAGGGACGAGGAGAGACATAGTAGATTTATGATTTAAGCCCGAGTTGTGATGGGCGTATAGAAAAGCCTGGATTATAGGCGATAAAGCGTAAGACGCGGGTAATGCGCAGCTGTTGAAACGTAAGACGGCCATAGCCTCGTAACTGTATGTCTATGTTGCGCAGTATTTACCTCCAGAGAGCTATATGCCATTCACAAGGATGATAGCTGAGAGCTGCCTTAGTGGAATCTCAAGACAGTGATAACTTTGATGACATAGAAGGAATACGACCCGTACTAATCGGAGACTTCAAAAAGTGTTAAAATTTGATAATATTAGAATTTTGAATTGGAAAATAAAATGAAGATTTAGAAATAATCCGCTCTGTGGTGTGTGAGCGAAGATAGATTAATCCGCCCTTTGTCGTGTAACATAATTTGAAGTTAAATTGAAAATTAGTTCAAGTGTGCTCAGTTATTTTTGATAAAAGGAAAATAAAATTGTTAAATAATAGAGAATTGAATCCCGATATTAAATTTGTGAGCCACTAGATTAGAGTGAGATTTATAGAAAATCGGAGAAAACTAACAAAATCCCGCTACTACGCGGAGGGCACCAAAAATCTGGACAACTTCTTCTGACGAATGGATTTCACTAATGGAGATGGATTTCTTGAAGGAGGAAGGAGTGTTATGTCCGTGATTTGAATATTTTTAATGTTTTTTTATTCATTTAACCTTCCTATCTAATTTGCCCCATTTTCCAATATATTAAATACTTCCCTCATTCCAACTTTCAAATATTTCCTTTCATCTTATTTAAATTGTTGCCCTTCACCCTTATTTCCTAAACCTTTTCCTTTGTAAATATTCCTTATATTTTTATCATCTACCGCCCTTCCTAGTCCCTATATATACTTGTTTCATTCCCCTCATTTTCAGTGCTCTCAGGAGCCTCCCTTGACCCTAATTTAATAAATGATAAAATAAATACTGTAAATTAATTCCTCAATTATATTTGAGAGCTTAGGGTCATTGTACGATAAATGTCTGTTTTCGCAGACATAATAGAGGGGGATTATTGTTTCAACTCAGCCGTAGTGGGGGAATTATTCGAGAGAGGGGAATTATTTGATGGAGGGGAATTAATCGAGTAAATACGGTAAGCATTAATATAAATTATTATTTTATATTTTTATCTATTCCCACAAAAGTCACCAATTACTCATCATTAAATTATTTTATTTTAATTTTTTTTGGCCATACTATGACTATTAACTTTTAGAATTATATATAGCTCAGTTATTTTCATTTAATAATTACTTTATTAAATTTAAAAATAAAATGACGTTTATTATAATTTTAAAAATTTTATTTAATTTTCTGACTTTTGTTTTTGCCGTGAAGGAAAGTGCGTCTGAAGAAAATCTGTAAATATAATATTTTAACTTAATTTACCTCTCAAAATCTTACTTAGAGTTAAGATTTTAGGGTGTTATGTGTCTTCAAAGTTTCCTCTTTAATAAGAAAGTCGGAGACGACTTAGCCGTTCAAGAAATGCCAAATTTCGAAGGCACATGATTTTGTGGTTTCCGATTAGCTAAAGGTCTAAAATTTTCTGAAATACTCGTGATGCTCTATCCGACATTATCCTAAAAGAAGATATTTGATTCACAGTTCTGGAGGCTCACTTATAGGACAAAGTTTAAGACATATTCATAATATAGAAGGAAAGAGGAA